GCCATGTTGGAGCAGGGCATCATCCACCCCAGTACCTCTCCGTTTTCTGCACTGGTGCTACTGGTCAAGAAGGCGGACGGGTCGTGGTGCTTCTACATCGACTACCGGGCGCTCAATGACCGCACGTCCAAGGACAAGTTCCCGATCCCGGTGGTTGACGAGCTCCTCGACGAGCTCCATGGAGCGAAGTTCTTCACCAAGCTCGACCTCCGCTTCGGGTACCACCAGGTGCGGATGCACCCGGTGGACATCGAGAAGACCGCCTTCCGCACGCACCACGGCCACTTCGAGTTCCTGGTGATGCCGTTTGGGCTCTCCAACGCCCCAGCAACTTTACAGGCGTTGATGAACGATGTGCTCTGCCCGTTTCTACGCAGGTTTGTGCTGGTTTTCTTCGACGACATTCTCATTTACAGCTCGTCGTGGTCCGAGCACCTCCAGCACATGGGCCTCGTCTTCACCGCCTTGTGAGCACACTGTCTCTTTTTAAAGAGGTCGAAGTGCTCCTTCGAGGCCCTCTCCGTCGCCTACCTCGGCCACGTCATCTCCACCGACGGCGTCACTATGGACAACGACAAGGTGGCCGTGGTCGCTTCTTGGCCAACGCCGCACTCCCCGTGGGGTGTGCGTGGCTTCCTAGGGCTCGCCGGCTACTACCGAAAGTTCATCCGTGACTTTGGCTCCATTATGGCGCCCCTCACACGTCTCCTATGGAAGGAGGCATTCGTCTAGACAGCTGAGGCGGACGAGGCCTTTGCTGCCCTCAAGCGAGCGCTCTCATCGGCGCCGGTCCTGCAGATGCCCGACATCGAGCGCCAGTTTGTGGTCGACTGTGACGCCTCCGACGCCGGGTTTGGCACCGTTCTGCACCAGGGGGCGGGACCCCTGGCCTTCTTCAGTCGACCGTTCGCCGCCCGCCATGTCAAATTGGTGGCGTACGAGCGCGAGCTCATTGGGCTGGTGCAAGCAGTCCGCCACTGGCGCCCGTACTTGTGTGGGCGCCGGTTCCCCGTCCGCACCGGCCACTACAGTCTGAAGTTCCTCCTGGACCAGCGGCTTCCCACCGTGCCCCAGCACTAGTGGATCAGCAAGCTGTTCGGGTTCGACTTCACCGTCGAGTACCATCCCGGGCGGCTCAACTCGGCGGCCGACGCGCTGTCCCACCGCGACGAGGAGGCTGCGGCGCTGTGTGACCTGTCCGGGCCGTCCTTTGACCTCTACGCCGACATCCGTCGGGCCACCGCGACCGACCCGGTCGTGCGCGACCTGCTGCAGTAGCTGGCGGCTGGCTCCCTGGACGCGCCGGGGACGGTTTCCTCCTCCACGGCAAGCGCATCTACGTTCCGGCCATTGACGACCTGCGTCACCAGGTGGTGGCCTTGCACACTCGGCTGGGCATGAGGGGGGTCCAGAAAACCCTTGTGCGCCTCCGAGGTGACTTCTATGTCCTCGGCGATCGCCAGCTGGTGCACGACTTTGTCCGCTCCTACGACGTGTGCCAGCGAAACAAGACGCCGACCACTCAGCCGGCCGGCCTGCTTTGGCCCCTGGACATCCCGTCCCAGGTGTGGGCTGATATCTCCATGGACTTCATCGAGGGTCTTCCAAAGGTGCACGACAAGTCGGTGATTTTGACGGTGGCGGATCGCTTCTCGAAGTACGCCCACTTCATCGCCCTCAGCCACCCCTACACCGCCGCCTCGGTCGCCCGCGCCTTCTTCGAGGGGATTGTGCGCCTGCACGGCTTCCCCAACTCCATCGTCAGCGACCGCGACCCGGTCTTCACCAGCAATCTGTGGCGTGACCTCTTCAAGTGTGCAGGTGTGAAGCAGCAACTTAGCACGGTGTTCCACCCCTAGACCGACGGCCAGTCAGAGGTCGTCAACAAGGTGATCGTGATGTACTTGCGCTGTGCGACCGGTGATCGACCGCGCTCGTGGGTCGACTGGCTCTCCTGGGCGGAGTACTGCTACAACACCTCATACCACTCCGCGCTCCGGGCAACGCCGTTCGAGGTGGTGTACGGGCGCCCCCCACCCTCACTTCTTCCGCACCAGGAGGGGGCGGCCCAGACAGAGGCGGTGGACGCCATGCTGCGGGATCGGAACGCGTTCATGGAGGAGGTTCGCGAGCGTCTTCTCCAAGCGCAGCAGTACGCCAAGCAGAACTACGACGAGCACCATCGCGAGGTGGAGTTTGACGTGGGAGCATGGATGTTGCTCCGCCTGCTACACCAACCCACCCATGCTCTCGCCTCGCCATCGAAGGGCAAGCTGTGTCCACGCTACGCCGGGCCGTTCCAGATCGTCGAGCGCATTGGCCCTGTAGCCTACCGCCTCCACCTTCCCGTGGCGGCACGCCTGCATGACGTCTTCCATGTGGGGCTGTTGAAGCCCTACAACTACACCGGCTCTCCGCCTTCAGGTCCGGCCATGCTGCCCCCGGTCCAGGATGGGCGGCTGTTGCCGGCGCCCGAGCAGGTGCTGCGTGCCCAGCTGCGACGGGGTGCTTGGCGCCTACTTGTCAAGTGGCAAGGTCTTCCGGAAGATGATGCGACATGGGAGCCACTAGAGGACTTCAAGGCTCTCTACCCCGATGTCCAGCTCAAGGACGAGCTGTTTGCCGAGAGGGGGAGAGATGTTATGACCGGGCTGCAGTACTCCAGGCGCCGGCCCAATAGTGGCTAATAAGCCATATTTATTAATTTTGGGATTTATTTCTATATAATTAGCAGATGACTTGAGGGGTTAATTAGCAAAAGGATATTTAGTTCTACAAATACTTTGTAATCAGTATTATTGAGATTAAGCAGAAACAATCTATTGTTTCCGGCTTCCCCTGGGGAGCCGGGAGTTCCTAACCCTAGCCGCCTCTACTGTAGCTGCGCGAGGGTTCTAGGGCTACAGCCGTAGCCGCCGCTCCCTCGCTGCAGCCACGGCACCACCTCGCCGCCGGTCGACGTTCAAGCCTCGCCCTCCGATCGTTCACTCCTACAACCTCAGATCGGTACGAGGGAGAGCGCAGCAGCATATCAATACCTATCACCCAAACTTAATCGCACATTTCTCGAAATAGGGCTATGTCTAATTCTGAAAATATTCACCGTAAACTAACAATACACAACTCTTGAAATTTAAATGCGAATGCTAACTTGTATTTTTACTGTTTGGAGAATCTGAAACAACAGATTGCAATCTCTTCACATATCTCCTTATGGCTATAAGCTAATGCTTACTTTTTTTTTGAACCATGCATTCATTATGTATGTATTTCGCTGCAGAACAATTTCATCAGTTAGAAGTCACTACAGCTGGTGAATCATTTTTTATGATGATTCTCCAATTGCTTGACACCTTGTTGATTCTATGTCAATAGGTTGCACATCCAATTGCCTCATGGCTCCAAAGCTTATGAAATTGTGTCATACACTCCACAAGATTGCAAGATTTCGTACTAAAAAAATCTAAGGCTTCGTGTGAACCTGAAAATGGGCAATATACAAATGATATGTGTGTGGAGTTCATTTTTAGTTAGATGTACACATTTACTGCAGTATCTAATTGATTGGTTGTTTTTACATTTTCCATCTTCCGAGATACAATAGGCAAAGTATCATGATACTAATATAACTATAATATATAGTTGAATATTAGCTTACTTGGTCAGTGTTGTATGTACTTGGAGGGTTTAACACCCTATCTGCTTTATGTACTTTTTCTTCTTAATGAAATGGCACACAGCTGTGCAGAGTCAGATTCCTGTTTTTAACTTAGTAGTCTGCGAAATTTTGACACTGCTGTAATAAAGATGAAGGTCAATAGTGGTCCATTTGGACAAGAGAGATTCATGTCATTGCTTGCTCCAATGGGATGCAGAACCGGGATCCAGCAGCGGCAGGCGCGCGGCAAGGCCGCGTGTAGTTTCTAGTATACTTATAACTGTTGCCATATAACAGATATCAATCACTAATCAATTCAGCAATTCTCTCTTTGTCTTCTTTTTTGTTGAGGAGGCAGCTCATTAGAATCTGAGCATCTCCAAGGCCAATAAAACCTCCTAATCTATAATTTTTTTGGCAAGAATAGAAAAAACTCATCTCCAAAAGTTCTCAATCTCAGCTCTCAATCATTTGGCACACGTGCGTATCTGTCTGCCAATCTAAAGTGGAAGGACGTGAAAAAGAATAAAGAATAGGAAAAAGTTCCTAATGTAATTGTACAAGAGACAAAGAACATATAAAAGTGGTTAAGATAATTTAGAAAATAGTGTAGCAATACTATAGCATTCCTGATTTAAAATTGTCTTATATATTTGAAGAGTGAATTATTGAAAACTATTGAGATGGTCTTATTTATTTCTCCTCGTACTTTTTGGCTAGTTAAAAAACATTATAGTTTTGGAAAAAAAATCTTGTGAACACTTGAGATGCTTAACATGCGATTCATGCATTCCTGAATACTTCAATAGGAATCGCCATCATAAGGATCCGCCTATCTACCACCAAAACTGGACCACCTAAACTGGACGCCTGTCCAGCGCCCATAACAAACGGCAGAAATTCCCCGAAATCCAACCGGAACGGATCAGCCACGCCGTTCGCCACCACCCGCCGCCTCGCGACCACACCCTCGCGCCACCCACCCACCTTCCCCGCACTGCGCCGCCATTAAAAAACCCGCGCCACGGTTGCGCCCGGCAGATCCCCACCGCCCGCTCCTCATCTCCGACCTCCCCCGCACCACGGGATCGACCCGGCGCGCGCCACGCCGGGGAAACCGTCCCGGCCCAGCTGCTGCCCAAACACACATTACACAAAAAAAAAAGAGACGGCAAAGCGAAGCGAGGCGCCCCCACTTGTTCGGACGACTCTGCGCGCTCCGAGTCCGATCCCACCCCCACACACCTCCTGCAGCTCCGTGCGGCCGTGCCAAGTCAAAGTCACACCTCAGCTCTGCGCCTCTGCCGTCTGCCGAGGCCGGCATTGGTGGTGCGCTGCGGAGATGGCGGCGGAGCGGGACATCGACGACCTGCCGCGGAACGATGCCAACTACACGGCGCTCACGCCGCTCTGGTTCCTCGAGCGCGCCGCGCTGACCCACCCGGCCAGGGCCTCCATCGTGCACGGGCCCGTGCGCTACACCTGGGCCGACACCTACAGCCGCTGCCGCCGCCTCGCCTCCGCCCTCGCGCGCCGATCCGTCGGCCACGGAAGCACGGTGCGGCCTCCATCGCTTCCCCCCTCCCTCCCTCTCCCTTTATCTGTGTGCCTGCGGTCTTCTTCCTTTGCTGTTACGAATTACACTTACTTTTGAGATGAGAACAGAGAGAAAGCTTACCCTTAACGATGTAACAGTAATAGTAATTTTCGGAAATAAATGGTTATGCTGTTGCAACCTGCCATGAAAGCAAAAGCTATGCTGATAAACTAGGCTGTCAACTCTTGATTTTTTTTGAAACACGCAGAAGAGCTGCGTATCATTGAATTAAGAAGAAAAAAATGGGTAAGAGCCCTTACAAATACACACCACACACCCAGGTAGAAACACTGGTCCCATACGCTCCTATTACAGACTGGTGAAACGCTGAAACAGATGGTTGTGTCCTATCTTGATGGAATTAGATGGGTGGCTGAAAGTGTTTCTTTGGTATAAACAGCATGACATCTCCGAAACCTTAGTTTGGTTTTTCAGTTCATTTTTCTTGTGTGCTCAAACACATGACAGTATTTGATGCATTCATGCATCACATGCTAACTGAGACGCTGCCATATCTGTTGGCACAAATCAACCGTTCCCATGTCTTGATGCCGGTGGGAAGTGGGAGGCTGGGAGATACTCAAAAGTGCGCCCACTATTGTCAACACTAATATGGTTGGCCACAAACATGTCAAAGAGCACGCTTTATCCATATCCCCAAGGCAATTTAGCTCATTTACCATATCTGTGGCCTTGTGCTACAAGGGCAGATCTTGAATGCTGTGCCATATTCACCTGCGCGTAGTTACAAATTAGAACTATGGTCACATTTTTCCATGTTTTGATAAGAATCTGTTGTTTCAACAAAGCTTCCATGTCAGAAATCACTGCTCACTACATTTTGCTTGTTTGGGAATGTTGTGGTGAAGTTTGTCCAGGAATGTATTGGAAGGCCAACCCACGAATTCACCGTCATCTGCCAATGTAAAAGGAAACCCTGAGCAGCTGCAGTCATTACTCTGTTTGCCTTGTCTGCACCAGATCCATGTTCACTAATGATATCATAAATAATCTTGAATACAGTATTGTTTGCCCATATGCTGTTAGAGCATCTCCAAGAGTTTGTCAAATTTTACTTGGCAAATCTTGTGACTTGGTAAAACTATATGCCAAGTAAAACTATATGCCAAGTAAAAAAACAATCCATCTCCAAGAGTTTGGCATTTTTGACTTGGTAAAATAAAAAAACCCGCTAAGCGAACGAAGAGCCCCGCTAAGCGAACGAAGAGCCCCGGATGCCAAGCCGTATACGCGCGCGTATATTTGCGCGTGCGGAGGGAAGATTTGCAAGGTTGCTATTGATGCCAAGTTGTTTTGCCAAACTGTTGGAGACTATTTTTTCTTGTTTTGCCAAAATTATATGGATGCCAAGTTGAGATAGCAAACTCTTGGAGATGCTCTTATTGTGTAATTTCTTACTTGTTCCCAGATAAAACTTCTGCTGATTATGCACACTTGATACATTCTATAATGCATTTATTGATTATTAGTTTCTCCTGAATCTCAGGTAGCTGTAATAGCCCCAAATATCCCAGCGATTTATGAAGCTCATTTTGGAGTGCCCATGGCTGGGGCAGTGGTCAACTGTGTCAATATTCGACTAAATGCTGCCACTGTAGCATTTCTCTTGGAGCACTCCTCTGCAGAAGTTGTCTTGGTTGACCAAGAATTTTTCACCCTGGCAGAGGATTCTTTGAGGATTATCGCGGATCAAAAGAAAGGTGCTTTCAAACAGCCACTTCTAATAGTTATTGGTGACCCAACTTGCGATCCAACAGCCCTCCAAGATGCTTTGAGAAAAGGAGCCATCGAGTATGAGGCGTTCTTGAAAAGTGGAGATCCTGAATTTGCTTGGAGACCACCACAGGATGAATGGAAGAGTATCGCGCTAGGTTATACTTCTGGGACAACTTCTAACCCAAAGGGTGTGGTATTGCATCACAGGGGTGCTTACCTAATGTCACTGAGTGGTGCTTTGATATGGGGAATGAACGAAGGTGCTGTTTACTTGTGGACTTTGCCAATGTTCCATTGCAATGGCTGGTGCTATACATGGACACTTGCTGCTCTCTGCGGGACAAGTATATGTCTTCGTCAGGTATACTTCTTTTTCTTAATAAATAAATACATGCTAAACTACTTATCAAATGCATGTAGAACATAAACTCTTTAGAAAAACAAAAGTAGCAACCTTTTATGAAGATGCATACATGGAATCTCATGTTTGATTGGATATCATGTCTACACAAAATAGAAGGTCATTTGCCCTACTTCACAAGTCAGGTCACTGGGAAAGATACTCTGGTTACAGGTTGATGCTAATGTCACAAGGTATATGCTTTTAGCATATTGATATTAAAAAAAAGGAAGCATGGTATATTAACAAAGAAAAATAGAGAACAAAATGGAAACCTGCATATCTATGAAACACTTAGCACTAATAGAGGAAATAAATAATGATGAACGGAGTAATTAATCAAGTATGAATGTGTGGAAAGATACTACTAATTGATGCTATATTGCTAGTGATCAATGTTTTGGTGCAGTTTTCAAGAACATTGAACTGTAAACATGAAACTATACTTGCTAGGGTACTGCATTAGTAATTTAGTATGTTGTTGGGCTTGCCGGTATAAGCAGGATATCTTGAAGTTTTTAATTGGAAACTGAATGATGGCTTATCTTTCTTATTCACTTCGGTTTCTCACTAATAAGTTGTGGTAGAATTTTGTCCATATCACAAGTTTTACTAATTGCTCATAACTCGAAACAAGATGGGCTTAATGGACTTGCATGTGATACAATGGCCACATACCCACACAAATGGATTGAATAGGTTCACATTTAGCTGGGCCAATGTTGCTCATGTCCTTTGAGTAAAACCTAGTGCATTATTGGCTTGATGTTTGGCTTCCTCGACACCCTTGATCCCAGAGTAAACTTTTTTCCCGGATGCTACTAAGTAGTTCTAACAATAACTCCTTTTCATATGCATCAAACATCATACTTGATTCTGTCTCCACCCAAGAATGTCAGATAACCAACAATCAAATGTATAACCTTGGACACCTCTCTCCATGCATTATGTAAGGCGTATTTTATAAGGAGAAATTGTAAATTTTTGACATTTGACTTCTCTTACAATATATTGGCAATTGCTCCAAAATCAACATCATTTTAAATTAATTAGAATATGAACATATCGATGCAGCTTTGTACACTAAGCACACATAATTTGACTAATTATTGGTCAAACTTGCAAAGTTTGACCTTTTCAAATCATAATGTGCCCTACATTGATGGACTGGAGGGAGTACATTTTGACCAAAACTTAGCGTTCTTTTTGAATTCACTTGTTTGGTTCTGACATTCTTTGGCAACTTTTTTCGTGTGTAATTTTGAGTCATTGAGGGTATGACGTTTGATTTAAGGCTTTTTGGTGAAGTACAGAATGAAGAATTACAAAACACATGATAAAAAAAGTTGTTCTTCTCCCTGCACCTAAGCCACCTGTGACCAGCAGGTTTATTCACCTAATTAATCTGTTCTACTAATCTGCAACTGACTTTTCTTTTTTCCATTACACTATGCCCGACAGGTTTCAGCAAAGGCCATCTTCTCAGCGATAGCCAACCAGGGCGTGACTCACTTCTGCGGGGCACCGGTCGTCCTGAACACCATCATCAACGCCCCTCCGGCGGACACGATTCTCCCCCTGCCTCGTGTGGTCGACGTCATGACTGCTGGCGCTGCTCCGCCACCCTCCGTCCTGGCGGCAATGTCGAAGCTTGGGTTCCGCATCACTCACACCTACGGCCTGTCGGAGACCTATGGACCATCCACGGTGTGCGCCTGGAAACCGGAATGGGACAGCCTGCCAGCCGACGAGCGCGCCCGCCTCCACGCGCGCCAGGGCGTCCGTTACGTCGGCCTGGAGGGCCTGGACGTCGTGGACCCGAAGACGATGGCGCCCGTCCCGGCCGACGGCACCACGACGGGGGAGATCGTGATGCGCGGCAACGGCGTCATGAAGGGGTACCTGAAGAACCCCAAGGCGAACGCGGAGGCGTTCGAGAACGGGTGGTTCCACTCGGGCGACCTGGGCGTGCGGCACGGCGACGGGTACATCGAGGTGAGGGACCGCGCCAAGGACATCATCATCTCCGGCGGGGAGAACATCAGCAGCCTGGAGGTGGAGAAGGCGGTGTACCTGCACCCGGCGGTGCTGGAGGCGTCGGTCGTGGCCCGCGCCGACGAGCAGTGGGGGGAGTCGCCGTGCGCGTTCGTCACCCTCAAGGACGCCGTGGATCGCTCTGACGAGGCGGCGCTGGCGCGAGACATCATGGGGTTCTGCCGCGAGAGGCTGCCCGGCTACTGGGTGCCCAAGTCCGTGGTGTTCGGGCCGCTGCCCAAGACGGCGACCGGCAAGATCAAGAAGCATGAGCTCAGGGCCATGGCCAAGGAACTGGGCCCGGTCCGGAAGAGCAGGATGTGAGCTCGTCTTGCTTTGCTCTCTGTATTCGTAGGATGGATGAAAGTTGTATACTACGTACAAACTGCGTTTCTTCTGTATAACATCCCTACTGTACGACCAACACAGCCCCATAAACCGTGTTTGAGTTTTTGTTTTGTCTGTGCTCCACTTGTATTCCAAGGGTATGGTATTGGTTAGACAGTTAAGAAGTTCTCAATAAATTACCCAAATGCTAATTCTCTGACACGGTAAAACGTGAAACTACACATGGAATATTCAAGATATATAAACAGAAGCAAAAGAAAGATATCTGAAAAGATTGGGTCTTTTGCAAAGCTGATTGAACAGCAGTATCTCTCCAGCTTCACTTGCTTTCCGGCCAAGGAGTGGGACTAGGAGCCAAACTTTGCAGTAGCTTGTTCACCAACGGCGACGTGTACAGATTTTTTTGAGGCGACGAGAACAGACAGAATCCCATCCGTCAGGCCAAAGCCGCCTATGTGGATATCTGCCATCCTAGGAAAAGTGCAAAAGCAAAGCTGTCTTTATGCCGCGGCCCGTGCGTCGCTGCACCGGCATGCACGCAAAACTTGTCACCGCACGGTGCAGTGCAGTGCCATCGTGGAGCGCTTCGTTGCCCGACAGCAAAGCACGAAAGGGAAACGTGCAATCATGAAACAAAGATCAAGATTGGTCCATGTCGACGTCGTCACATGCAGCACGGCGACAAGTGAAAAGCCCGGGAAAAGGGCTACTCCCTCTTTGTGCGAATAGAAGGGCGTATCATGTTTAGGTAGGACAAGTCTTCACGGGCTTAGCTACGGGCTTAGCTAGTTAGATTACTTGCGGTAAAACCTAGTACATCGATAATGTGTTTGGTTTGTGTAACCAAACGGTTGATGATGAAAAATTCAACATCGGATTATCCGTCCAGTACACTAAGAATCACTACATGATCTAGTGGTCATATTCTTCCTGATTTTGTAACAGTCACTACTGAAGATTTCTAAAAGTTTCTCACCAAACAATACGCTACAACCACAACATAGCGGTGCACATCAATAAGCATATCAACTTAGGGCCTGCATATCCAACTTTGGAAACTATGGTTTGTTACATTTGTGAGAGAAAACAACATTTGGATGAAAAAAATAAGCCACCTAATGATTCGTACCTAATGATTCGTAGGCCCCATCAAGGTGCCACTGGATCATCATGTGCATTCCAACAAGCATGTTTGAGTTGAACTTCAACTCTACATAGTGGCACAAGATGCTACCGATCCACTCAAGACCCTTCATCATATCATATGGTGAGTGACACCGCCTAACACTAAGTATGGCACAATTAATGTTACCGGACGATACGATGGCCTTGGTCAACTGATCTGGTGCATTTTAAACTTCAATTATGGCTCCATTTGAAGTCCAATCTCATCTAATTCAACTTCTTTAAGATCTTAGACTCTTGATAAGTCTTGCTCGGAGTAACTCTCATGTATGCCCAAAATGCTCTTGTCTGCGACTTTGATCAAGATACTAATCTCGACCCTCTTAATAGTATAACCAAAGATAAATAAAAGCCCTAACTCTAGATCTAAGTGCTCCTAACACCAAATCCGCATGTAGACATCATTGTGTACTTAGCCTTCATGAATACCATTGAGCCATATATTGAACCCAATGTAGGGGACCGTGACGCCTTAAAGGGGGGTGAATTAGCCAACTTAAAAGACCGACTTTAAGCTATGGCCTCTTTTTCTAACCTTAACAAAACCTATGCAAAAAATAAACTATCTAAATGTGCAACTACGGTTTTGCTAGTGTGTTGCTATCTCTTACCGCAAAAGGAGTAATACAAACAATGTAAATGCGGAAGCTAAAAGAGTAAGGTGGAGATTTACAAACTCCCGTCGACGACTCCGGTATTTTTACCGAGGTATCGAGAAGCGCGCAAGCTTTCCCGTAGTCCTCGTTGGAGCCCCTCGCAAGGGCCAAGCTCCCGGTCGAATAACTCTGTGGATAGCCTTGGGCCTTCCCCACACGCAAGTGGGTCTCCGATGTGCCTTTCGGCAAGCCTCTTCTGGACCGCTTCCCGCCGTCTTCACTATCAAGCTTCCGTCGAACCGCTGCGGGCCTTGTTCCCTTCGGTACACGGTGGCGGCCACACCACAAACGCGGTTGGTGTGATCTCGCAAGACTACAAGCCCCTCCGATGTACAACAATGGTGCGCACAAGCATCGAGTGGTAAAAGGTATGCAAACCTCACTAAACACTAGACCTAAACCTAGAGCAGGCGCATAAGCGGTGGTCTAATCAATCTAAGCACTTCGCAAAGCACCTACGCTAATCAACCAATGAATCACTAAGCATTATGCAAGTGGAGATCACTAAAATGGTGTATCAACACCCTTGGTATGTTTCCTCAGCTCCACTCTACTCAAATAGCTTGTTGGAGGGTCTATTTATAAGCCCCACTGAGAAAGTAGCCGTTGGGGACGAAACCCACCTTTACTCGCCATCGGCCGGACCGCTTCGTTTAACCGTCGCGTCTGCGTCGTCCCGACCGTTGGAGCGCCGCGACGTTGATTGGATGCGCAAGCGAGTCCGATCATCGCCGATCGACGATGCGTCCGGTCATTGCTGCCGCCTCTAGAACCTCTCTGGACTCGATCGGACGCTGCAGTTCCTGCGTCCGGTCGATCATCCGTCAGTGTCCGGCCAGTACTGGACGTGTTGCTGAGATGATGAACAGTGCCATCGTCGCGTCCGGTCACTTTCAGTCCTTAGCGTCTGGTCGCTGCTGCTGATGCCTGTTGTTGCCGTTCATATTGATCGGACGCGTTCGGTCAATTATCCGCCAGCGTCCGGTCACCTCTGTGAAGCTCGTTTCTTCGCCATCTTGTGTCCGGCTTGGTTTCCTATCTTCATGCTTGGACATTGCTCGATATCTTGGGTCTTCTCTTGTGCTTCTAGGATCTTGCTTTTGTTGTTGATCGTGGGATCATCACGTCGCATTCGTCCAAGTCACGTCTTGCACCCTGTTGAACTACAAAACAATTACTTGCAAATTTATTAGTCCAATTTAGTTGTGTTGGTCATCAAACACCAAAATCCAAAGTAAATGGGCCTAGGGTCCATTTTCCTTAAACCCAATCACTTGTGGCAAACAAAACCAAGTGGCCTTGATATGAGTAATCCTTTACCAGTGACTATAAAAACCTTGTGTTCATCGATCATCTAAACTCGAGCTAGGGGCCGTCGCACCTCCTTCCTAAAAAGGATACAATCCTACTTCTATCTTTTGTTGAACTATTTAAAATTTGTCTAAATTTGTAGAAAAATATTAATATTCCATACAAAAAGGTATACTGTGAAAATATAATCCATAAAACGAATTTAATGACACTTATTTGTATCGATACTTTTATATAAATTTGTTATGATTTAAAATAGTTTGATTGATATTATGTTGAAACTGTATATTGTTTCGAAAAGGTAGTACTTAGTGTTAGGCCATCAGAGTATATCTAATCTAATAAGGGTGTGTTTGGTTTGAGTACAATGATGGATGGGATATGAATATCTATGGATTTCTGGAAATAGTTATCCATACTTGCTATTTAGTTTGATGGATAGGACGAGTCATTTTTTTGGTTTGGTTGGATGGATATCTATCGAATGGGATGGGATGAGACAGGATTGAGCCATTTTTTTTGTTTAGTTGGATGAATGATGATGGATAGGTTGATGATGTCATGCGGGACTCACTTATCATTTATTTAATTTTAAATAAAATATAATCATGTGAGATCTTGTTTTGTAGATTTAAATGCAACGAATACAACTATGTAATCATATCATAAATCAGATAAATAGTTTAGTAGATAAAATTGTTTGAAGGTTGTTTGCATTTATTAATTATTGTTGCCACATTAGCAGCAGCCAAGCCATCAAGTTGGATGAGCAGATCCGGCGGATTTTTGGTGTCCACTTGCTCCAACATCTCAAGTTGGATGAGCAGATCCGGCAGATTTTTGGTGTCCACTTGCCCTAGCATCTCATGAGAATATTTTCTCGTGTGGATATCCCTGTCTTGATACAACCAAACACTACATGTCATGAATGGTGCTATCCCATCCATGAATATCCGGCCAACTAAACGTAACCTAGCTGTCCGAAAGGAAAATATTACGGCGAAGTTGCGGAAGCAGATGGTGAGGTGAGGAAGGCATGACCGCATGAGACCTCTTACTATGTGCTGATATATGATGTGTCGCTGAGGATAATTTGAAAGAAAATGTGGATTCCAGTTTTCCCGTCAGAAATAAGAACATATTCTGGTCAATTTTCTTTCGGGTCAATCCATGGATACGGCGAGATATGAATAAACTCAGCAGACAAAACGATACGGATGCATCATCTCAGAGGAAAAAGATAGTGAATGAATGATGCTCCTCAAAGGAAACGCATGAAAAGTGAAGAAAAGGTGCACCCAAAAATAAAACATCCGGGAAAAGATCACGAGCGAGATATTTATTAGCCTCAGTCATCCTACACGAATGAAAAAGAACATATCTTTGCGCATGTTTATTGTATTGGGTTTTTTAGCACTACTTCAGTAGTACTTTTCAGCGAACGAACAATATTTTTCTTTCACAACAAATCAGCATAAGCCAAATTCCAGTGAAACGAACAGGGCTAGTTACTAGTTGAGGATAAAAATTACCTGAGGTTGGTTAGTTAGTTGGCTAACAAACAGTTGAAGTATTGGCTCTAAAATTAACCTACCTATTAGCCCTCCTATTTGGTTGTACTAGAGCTAATTTTAGCTAGCTAATAATTAACCTTTATCCAAACATGCCCTTAGTAAACTAGTCACTGCCTATCTTGTAGCTTATAATTAATTTGATGTTGAAAGTTGTGATTTGGTGACCTTGTTAAAATTCATTTGACGTCACGTTCATGATCATCGATCCTAGATTGAAGCCCCAGCAAAATCTGTAAACAAAATCCTTTGGAATAATTCACACGGTCCCAGCCATACTCTTATCATGTGACTTTGTCCACCGAAACCCATGGTGCCACACATTGCGACGCGAGAGAGATTCGAAGCTTTGGATCTGTCGTCGCATTGCACTGAAACGCAGCTTGGTGACTGGCATGCATGCTGTGCCGACAAGCAATCGGCCAGGTTTTTAATAGTCTCCGTGGTTGATACAATACTGACAGTGACATCCAACTGGAGTAGTACTCCACTATTCATTTAGGAAGGAACATTTGGTTGGAAACTTATGTATGTTAAACTGGGGCTGCCATGCTCAAACCAATGTATTTTACTATTATGGATAATGCATTAGTAGGTATACCTGGCATGCTGGATTAGTTCAATTGTAGAGAATGGCTTACTGCATTGTCACGATCTTATCCAATCCAACCTCCCGTGGAGATATATTGATGGATCTTCCTTCCTTGGCTTCAAAGATCACACCATATCGGTGGTTGCTTCGCGTGTGTATCTTAATTTCGGAGCAAATGGCTTTTGTTGTGGCATTACAGTCTGATTGATAGGGTAGCTTGCCAAGCAACAAAACACAATGTACTGCCAAAGTGGCAAAATACAAGATTTGTCCAAGACAGGCCGCTTTACTTGAAAAGACAAGCATCACTATAAAGTACCTATAAGTGATTACCATGCAATCCATTCAGTGGTATAATTTTCTAGGATGGATGAATTTTAGAGGGCATTCACATAAATCGTTAAAAAATTATAATGTAGGACTTAGATATTTCGTTGGCCTCAGTGTTTTACATGTTACTCCATACTAACCAGTTGTTCTACCATGCATATACGAGTGTAGAGAGCATCAGAGTTCAGACCAGTATGACTCATAAATACTACTCAGACATCACTGATGTCAGCCCATGATGATATTCTTTTTCTTGAACCGAGGGGATTCCCCATTTCTATTAATAATATAACGGAAATACAGCATTCAAGAGAGCCCATGAAGAGATGGTTCTTTAAATTGTCTTTATATTCATAAGTAGGGTCTAAAATTGCCAAACAGCGAGGAAGGTAATCATGGCATCACATAATTGATTGACGAGGTTCAGCAAGAAGCGCGTGTGCATGTCCTCAGTATCCGTATAGGGGCAACCTACATTGATGTATATTTATGTTGATCGTGAGATATGCTCATATGGAGCATTACGGGCTTCTTTGCTGCATGAGCATGGGCATGATCTACGCCACCCAGTTTATCACAATCGGATACAGATAAGGCATCTATATAAACATACTGTATTAGAATGTTAATAAATTATATTAATTAGGAAAGATAGAATTTTGATTAGTCATTGATCGTTGATATAAATTTGTCCATAAATTTTTAAAAGCTATGTCTCCTAAAGGTACCCGTGGAGCACGAGTTGGTGCCCGAGTTCCTTTCACATAAAAAGATGGCCGCTCACAAGTATTCATGTTATTATTACTCATCACCAGAATTTTGACCGGGATGGCTACTGGTGAGCCAACAGCATGATCAGCGGGCATGCCAAGGTGAATTGAACTATTGAAGCTGCAGCAGGAGTAACCATTCTTGCGGCGACACATCGGCACACAAGAAGCTGGATATGGGGAGCAGACTGTGAGACTGAGCACGCACGCCGGAGAATATATGAGAACAGGCGAACAGCAGGTCACTGCTAAAGTCCAACGGGGACATGGAGTAGACGGCACAGTTGAATCGGATTTTTTGGAGCAGAGGAGGAGGGATCAGACCAGGACGCTACAGTCCAATGGAGGAATGAATCACAAACGAAAAGTAAAGGAGAACGTTGCTACAACTACAACAGGAGAAGCATGACCGCGAAAGTTTAGGAGCAAGAGAAAGTACCAATGAGAGATGCTATATTTGTGCAATTTATTAACTATGATATTTTAGATAAATACAAATATGGACATGTAAATCTTACCATGAAGATGTTCAAGCATTCAGCCACACCAGTCAGTTGAACCAAATCCCTTAAAACCTCTAAAACCAGATTGTCCTTTTGTTACTCACATGTGTTACTTATACACAAATTGTCCTTCTGCACCATATTATATCTAAGATTGACGAAGAGGGTCTAGGAGAACTACGAGTACACAACATATTTGGAAGACAACACCAATCACACAGGTTTCATGCTCCACACCACATATAGTGATATAGATCCTATTTAGGCATTCCAACATTGCTACCCCTACAAAAAATAATTTGATTAATTGACCCTAACATACTCAATCTTGAGCATGTAGTATTCTCTTGGTCAATTTTTGGGTTTAATAAAGCATAAAAATGATGACTAAATAAATACCGGGCACAATTATGTACAATAAAACACTAAAAACAAGTACAGATAAGATCCAGATCTTTTCAAATCTAGTAACATATTATATTTTTAGAAAAATTGGTTATTGGTTTCATTTTTTATTTAATTAGGGACCAACATGTAGAGGGCAAAGAAGTTATTTTGTTTTTTAAAATACAAAGTCATTTTTGAAACCAGCTAGATGGCCAATTTTTCTGTGGTAATAATAGTTTGCTGACCAAGTTTTTATATATTTTTTGAATTATGTGCCACAAACAAATTTGGACAACAATTGAATTTACAACATTGGACTTCACCCATCGAATATTTATCTTGTTTGATTGCTAGTGAACAATGTTAGAGATCACGACAAACTGAGCCTAACTTTCTCGTGGTGGAACCTATCTATCCACGTCTAAATCTTAGGATTGGTACATCGGAGCATATTTGTCTGTATTTATATTTTTGGAAAGAAACAATAGCTGTTTATATAATAATGGTAGACAAAGAAAGATTGTTTAGATAACTTTATCAATCTCAAGATGTATCGACTCATGGTGTATATACGTGTAGTCGTGTACGTCGGTGTCCGTGCATCCGGAAGAAAAAGTTGGCGATCATCATGGTCATGGCATGAGTTTCCTGTCCGCTAATCTGACCACCCACCGGACGCCTCTCACCTATATTTTCCACGGCGCACCTGGCTGAAATCCTCACGCCTTGCTAATTGGATTTGGAGGCGGTCTCACGTGTCCCTCGCCGGATCGCTCGCCGTCACTTCACACACGTGACTCACCACCAAGGCCCCATTGCCCCAAGGTCGTTAATTGCAGCCGGTCGCCCAGCAGGAACAGAGACGCGCTAGCGCTAGGATAGGAGAGAAGACACACATGGATACATACAGGCACGCGTCGACGCATCAGCAAGGTTGGTGACATGTCGTCTCGTCCAACAAGGATCGCATGCCTGCCCCGGCGCCCCGGCCCGACCATTGCTTTTGCCGAAGCGTGCACGACGCGACGCTACAGCACTCGGCGCCGCGTCGATCTCCCTCGGACGGCCGTCGGATGGCAAGCACTGTAGCATGTATCTTGCGGGGTTGAGGATCCTCTGTGTCGGCTACGGAACCGAGGACCCATATTATGCGTGCAGTCTGTGCTGTCGCCCCAGGCTGTGTTTGTGATCTCTCCTCTCCCGTACGAGCTCTATATAAACAGGCCTGAGGCCTTGCCCCTCTCTGCAGACTGCAGCACACGCGCCTCGATCCTCCTCGCCCCTCGTCTCCCTGCACCAGCAGAGAGCGCCACAAAGGTCCTGCTTCAAAGACTCTCCAACGCCCCTCTTCTCATTCATGCCGAGTGTTTCATCTTCGCCTGTTTCCCTCTTCCTGAGGCACTGAAACTTTGCAGTGCTCTTCTTTCTTGCAGTTGCAGAGAAGGGAGACGGGAGGCGGACGAGAGGAAGAGATGGCAGGCTGTGATGGAGCCAAGTCATCGGCGTCCATGGAGGAAGAGGTAATTTGGCATAATTTCTCTGTGAATTGACTTGATTCCTGGCACAAAGAAAAGGAATCATGACTGTCTAGAGGTTGCAGTTCACATGTTATCGATCCTTCAGTTGTTGCTTCGTTCACATACATTGTATATGCATGCCCTGTTCATTCCCCCTACCTGCCTACTTGGATCAAGACTTCCCTGCTTTGATTAGTTTCTGAATTTTAACCTCAAAACGAACTTCTTTTTGGAGTTTTTATTGGGGCTCAACTTAGGACATAGATCGATAGAGTTCTGCTGTTGCAGAGCAATGCTTGACTCAATTTTGATACACAATTATAAATCGAAGTGATTTTTAGTGGCTTCAGAAAGTCCAGTTTTGAACGCCAGGCTCCTTTAGGAATCGGCTCACTGAACCTCCCAAGATAAAAAAAATGTCTTCATTGCCTGAAAACGTAAACCGACAAGCAGCTTAAGGAAACAGGAATATAAAGGACAAATGAGGTTTCACTGTTTGTTCATTTCGGATTTCAGTTTCTTTAACGAAACAAACATCTTGCCGTTGATGCTAACTTTTCAGTGACGAAACTTCGTCAGTTTTTTCCATTTTTGATGACGCCATAGAGATGTTTCCTTGGATGCATCTTAATTACTCAGCACCTAACGCGTGTGTAGATTAAGTTGCACTTATCCTCACCAGGACACCAGCTACTTAGCAAACCTGCCGTGCCCAACGCATTTAAAGATTCTGCGCTATCTTAGTACTAATACCGCTATAGATTACGCCTACGAAACGAAACTGCTTTTGTTGACCACGCGCACCAGGATTATTGTTTAATAATGACATTGAAGGAATGAAGTAAGGAACGAAAGTAAACTTTACGCAACCTGCACCTGCAGCTCTTGGGCCCAAGAATCTATTGACTGAAACTTGAGAGGTTTTGAGCAACCATGACGAGATGTGGCCTCGGTTCTGTCAATGATGGACCGGTCCTGCTTTTTTACTATGAGCAAAGCTGACCCTCTGAGAATCTCACTCGGCGAGTCAGCTTTGCAACCGCATCTGCATGGATTACGCATGAGCAGCGAACACAGCCCCGGCCGGTAACAGTTTCTGAAATCCTGTCATTTTCGTGGCTTTGTTCAGAGATCGCCGTCAGTAGATCGGTCACATGCTTTTGGTGGATCAAAAGCAACCGTATAGATAGCACAGAGCGGCATATCCTTCCTTGTCGAAAGGGATGCATGTTTTTGTCATCGCCTGGCACAATGCTTTCAGCCGTGAAATTATGATTAATCGAGTGGTCAAAAAGGTAGGTTCAGATGCCTGAAACATGGTTTGGTGTGTGTGTGTGTCATTCATGCCGTCATGTCAGTCCACTAGAGAAGCAAGCGTCTGTGTCTGTGCCGGCATGATGGCCCTGACCCCTGAACAAACGGATAAGCCTTCCTCGCTCCCTTCCCCTACCCGGAAGAGGTTCAGTGGTTCGGCACACAGCTTCACAAGTCTGTTTTTCTTTTTCGGAAGGCAGATTCATCATAATTCGGGTGTTTGGCGCAGGCTTTGGCACAAGTTTGTGATGTCTTGACCCATTTTGCTTGCAGGCATGCGCGGAGAAGAAGTACGGAGGAATTGCACCCAAGAAGCCTTTGATATCCAAGGTACTATTAGCAAAATATTAGCCCTCCCCTCATGCTATTGGTTGGACCAAACAACACGAATACTAGCTTATTTAGAAGCTTTGATCATTTCCTCTTATGTCATTCCTGCGTGCGGTGCTAATGCAGGACCACGAGCGCGCCTACTTCGATTCTGCAGATTGGGTGCTGGGCAAGGTCAGAGAAGAGAATTCGTGTTCAGAGTTCCGGAATCACACATGTTCAGAGTTCAGACCTCAGAGTACTGTCTCTAACCGTGCTCCTTTTGGCTTGTATTTTGCAGCAAGCTGCAAACAGCAGTACAAGGGCCGCTGTCGAGTCTCTCAAGCCCAAGCTGAAGGTCAGTTGCATTGGTCCATTACAACACTCACAGTTCAACTAATGACTTCCCCCGATATAGCAAACTTCACCTGAACGAATTCATGCGATTTCTCCAGCACTGAGACTGAACTTACTAATGGTTTGTTCCTCATTTCCTTGTCCAGAGAACGCCTCACCACCAGCTGCCCCCTCGTAAGCCCACCTGCGCTTCCAGTTGAGACGACGCACGGTAAGCTAGCTAGCTGGCCTCCAAGAACCTGAACCTGCACAGACATCTGCAGAGTTATGTGCAATTGCAACGAGGCCGCAAGACATGACCGTCCGTCCTTGCGTGTTCGTGCAGGCCACGCGTTGCACCTGCTGGAGGGAGAGCTCGGAGGCAAGGAGGGGAGGATGCCGAGCTCGGATAAATGTTTAGCTGGTCCGGAATCGTAGGGACGAGTCAGCAATCCGAATCTGAGATGCAATCTGGCTTCTTGGCGGTTGCATTGTAGCACCTATTGTGTCTGTCATAAGAACGGATTAATTAATTATCAAGTACTCCTATCTGGCTTAAGTTTAGCATGGCTCTTGGTGTTTCAACTCCAGAAGAGTGAACGAAAGATTTTGCCCAAAAAATGCGGGGTAGAATTTGTTGTTTCTTTTTTTTTTTATTCCTCAGATCCGGAGTACAAGTTGTACTATCTGAACGCACGCCAAACACATAATTCACGCACACCACACACACCGGGAATCCACTGATTATTTTTGGGAGAAAATCCTGGTGAGGCAAGTGAGTTCGATCTCAGGGATCGAACCCACGAGCGGTTGTTCCACCACCGGGAGACTCAACCAACCCGATTTTTTATTTTTTAGTCTTTTTTTTTAAAAATTCACAAATATACCTCTGGAGGTAAGATTTCAAAATCTGGACCCTTAGCTCGGCGCCATCGTTGCTGGCGCCGAGGTCTTAAGCTCGACGCAGACGTGGCGGTGACTTGGCAGACAGCTCGACGCCATAGATCCTGGCGCCAAGCTTGCCGCCGAGCTCGGCGCCATATATCTTGACGCCATGATCTCCAAAGGTTTTATTCCTCGTTGAGCCTCTCGCGTCCTGTCGGTCGCCATGCCTGGATGTCCTCTTCGCGCGCGCTCCCTCTCACCACGCGTCCGGTCCTACGCAGGCGGCGGGCGCTCGGTGCTCGCACGGACATCGAGGCGACCGGACGCTGCCACGTCGTGCGGCTAGTACCAAGTACTTTCACCGAGCTCGCTGTGCATGACTGCTAGTGCAGGCAGACTGCATGCTTGAGAGGGCCCGGGGGGAGGGGAGCGCCGCATGGTGGCTGCCGTGGTTTTTTGCTTTTGAAATCTCGGTGCCGCCATCATGTTATCTTTGCTCTGCCGCATCACCACCCGGCATTGGGCCACATGCAAAGGGGAGCCCTTCTTTCTTCATGTCGCTGCGCGTGCATATGCATCGTGCATATGTGGTTTCCTTGAACACCATCGTTTTACATTTTTTTCTCTTTCCTTATGTGCCATTGCTGGTGCTGAAATTATATTATTCTCCTCTAAGCAAAAATGAGTTTCATCACGTGGCTACGTAATTCACAATTGGTGATGAGCACGCTAAGGGGTACATTATTCATAATTTATGCTATCTGTCATGTTCGCTTGGCTAATAAGCCATTGCTGAAAGTACTGTTGGCTGATTTATTATGAGAGAAAAATATTATTCATTGGCTAAAAAAGTATGATTTATAAGCCAAACAAACAGGACGATCGTAATGAATGATGGCGTTAGGTCCTGACTTGTTTGCTGAGAATTAGCGGCAGTGCCACCGAAGGAGAATTAAAAAAGTTCTGAATAAATTGTAACAAAGGAATACTGTATTTTATTTTTTTAATGGCACTTAAGGGCCGGATAGCTATAGGCTTTGAACGTACGTTATTCAAGCGATTTTGTCTTCAAGATCGAGTCAGCGGGAGCCGGGAGCGGCCGTTTGATAACTCTCCGGATAGGTAGCTCCACGTACGCGTGCACTACGTCCAACTCGCAACAACCTACAGCACACAGAATTTTCTTAAAAAAATCCTACAGCGCACGGAACGTTAAGAAGCGCACGGAGTATCGATCGACGTACGTGTCCGTCACGTAAGGACTCTCTCTCTATATATAGGATAGGTAATACATACACGACTACAGTCGTGCAGAGGGATGCTTCCGTGATTTTAAAAATCGATCGAGGAGAACCGTCGAGAACAATGCAAGTTGCGCTTGTGCAATTACCAAATGTTCATTGCGTTGTGCGTTGGTTTGCTAGCTAGATGTACGAACGCGTATACACACACACAACAGACACATGCTTCATGCATCATGCCGCGTGTATATCATAGTATCTTTTTGTGATCAGCGCAGCAGGAACGCATGCAACTGGAGTATTTCCAGATAATGCTTGGAATACTTCGTGAACGCAAGTGGTCAAAATTGCTGTAGAATACTGCTAGCTCTAGTATGCATGGTGTATTTGTTTCGCACGGAATGGGGTAGCAAGGCCACTGTACAACTATCCGAGCTTGGTGCCACTGTCACGTCTGCGTCGAGCCTAAAACCTCGGCGCCAGCACCAGCAATGATGGTGCCAAACTAAAAATCCAGATTTTAAAATCTTACCTTCATAGATATATTTGTGAAAAAATTTCAAAAAAAAAGGCTAAAAATTTAAAAAAATCGGCCAACCAACCGAGCTGACGCTCGCCCGACCATGGAACTCGCGGAACTGACGCTGGAAGCCGGAGTCGGAGACGAGGTGGCACCAGCGCTTGCAGACGAGGCCGGCGCGGACGAGGCTCGCCGGGCTGTCGGCCGGGAGCCGGAGCAGAATCTCTTCGACGAGATCGTCCATCAACGGTGGTGGAGGCGGCGGCATGCTAGCCGCTTGCAGCAGATCGCAACCTGATTTGTGGGAACAGAATATTCGGCCACGGCCCTGCGCAATGCTTACGCAGGCCGTCAGCTTGTTGGGCTTGGGCTCCTAATGTTTAGGCTCGTGGCAAGCCCATCCACTTTCAGCCCAACTCCTACTATTTCTGCAAGCATAATTATATTTGGTTCCACTAAATATAGTTTTATCTTCATCTTCCGGTCCTCCCCAAAGAAAATCATGTATTACTTATTATGAAATTTCACGAGAGGACTTATAGAGCCTTTGATTTGATAAATGAGTTAGTCCATCATCTTCTCACTACACTTTTTTTTTTTTGTTGTGTAATAGAATGGGTTGATCCATCGTTATTCCTCATAAGTTAATAGCTACTACATATAAAAAAAAGCTAATAACTAGTACTAATACGAGGAAATGTTGTCATTTCACCAAATTTGAGAAAAATGAACTCATGATATACCGCCTCATTTAGAAGAGAGAATGGTTTGGTTCCTCAAACCAAACATCCCACTAATCTACCATGGTAGAAATACAGTTGCTACGGTTGGTTATCTTATGCTTTGTCGTTAGAATTTAGAGCCTTAGCTTCTTAATGCCACCACACAGCACTCTGCTTGTTTCTGATGAGTCAAATACACTCCCATGCCATTAAAAAAAATACGCTCACATGTGAACTTTATTACTAGAGCAGAAGATTACACCACCATTCCACCAATAATAAAGGTTTGCTCTGCCAGTGATAAGCAATGGGATTCCGGCCGGATTTGCCACAAGCAGTTGGTTAAACTGAACTTATCTTTCGATCATTGATCATATATTGAAAGATGGGGCACTGCCCTGAAACTCTTAAAAATTTTAGATCGAATTCCATGCATGGGCCCAAAAGTTCCTCGAGAAATTCCCTCATGCAAGCTTAATTTTTGCTGTTGGCGTCTTTGGGCATATATATATGGTTTGAACTGAACTCATACGGAGCTTTTGCATCAGAGGAGATATATGTACACATGGGCTCCGCGCCTCCGCCAACTGACTGGCTTAGCCCTGTTGGGCATATGGTTTTTATCCTCTACGTACATAGGTGTATCATGGCAGATCAGTCTAATCGCTAGTCGAGGCCTAGCATAGTTCATGGGGATCCTCCTACGCATACTACTTCATCCGGTCGCAAACGCACGCGTACGTGCTCATCTGCTTGTCGAGGCCTAGCGTGCATGGCTCTAGTACACAAGCAGACCAAAGAGCACGCCACAAACGAACAACTCCCGTGAACATGATGCAGGCTGCAGCCAGCGCCCAGCGGAGCACAGAGACAAAAACCCTGACTAGGGCACTGCGGTGTTCCGTTTGCATGCATTTCGCAAGCTTTTTAGCTGCTGACATGGACGCAATATATACAAGCTAGTAGGTAGTACATTGTACAAGCTACTAGCTAGCTAGCTAGTCCCCACTCTACGTATATTTGCCTGGTGACCTTGCGACTCACGTACCCATCACCACTCTTGGGTGACTTTGGATCTTGCTGCTTTTCACATGTACAGTTTGTCTACCTGACCAGTGACCACCTGCTACTGGTCTACATACACATAGTATACTGCTATATAGGAGTATGCGTTCCATTCTTTCATGTGTTTTTTTTCTCTGTCCCTGTAAGCATGCAGGAATCTATCTATCTGTGAGTGAGTGAGTGCCTTTCAGTATTGTCATGCCATTGCATCAATCCAGATCTGGACACAGCTGCAGGCAGGAGTCCTTGGCTCCTTGCAGGACCAGCAGTACCATGCTTTCTCTCACACACACTAGCTGCCTTTCATCTTTGGATCTTGTGGCTTTACACTAGCTAGCTCTGCCTTTCTCATCTTTGTTTTGATCTTGCCTGGCTTTACCTGCTAGCATTTTTAAACTAAGCTCTGCCATGTTCTCAAAAAGATCTCATGTTTTGCTACCTGCAAGCCTCTTTCAGCCTGCTCTTATTACCTGCCCCATGACATTTTTAAACTAACTCGCTCATGTTCAACATGAGTCATTTAAAATTCTGGTCCTGGTCGCTTTTTCCTTCTTCAGTTTCAAATAAACTACCCTCTCTATTCTGAAATATAAGAGATCCAAGTTAGTTTTGAGTCAAACTATGCTAGCTTTAACAGAATTTACATAGAAGAATATACATCTCTACCACATCAAAGATATAAATTATGAAAAATGGTATAAATACTATTCTTTGGGACAAAGTGAGATCTCTTATATTTCAAGACGGATGGAGTAGAGAAAAGTTAAAGGCTCGACATGACTATCGGC